TTGATATTTAACATAAGCCCTGAGTGGTCACGGATTCTCTTTCTTACATTTTCACTGACAAACTGCTTCCAGCTGCCCTTTCGGGTGGGACGCCACCACAATAAAATGCACTGTTTGCTGAGGATTTCAGCTGCCACCTGGGGGCTCAGCGTCCTCAATGAAGGCTATTTAAGCAATGCTGGTGGTGAAATGGTGACAAATGGTATGTTGACTTTTTTTCTGGTGTTTGTGGTTTAGGACTAGTTGGTTTCAGTCTTGCTGGCTCTTGCTTCCGTGTTACCAATCTTTTCCACATTTAAAGTCTGTTACTGCCTCTCCTTCAGGGTTATGGCAGCAAGCTTTGTGCTGTTGACAGAAGCCATTTGTTGAGTGGAAGGTTCATATTTTAGAATACTGGCAAGGACTGATTTTACAGTTAGTCCATGGTTCTGAATTTACGTTTACTTTTTTAAGGGTTTTCTTTTTCACCTAGCTGAAAAGTGTTTCTTCATTAGGTTGTTATCACTCCATTCACATGAAATGGCCTTGACTGCTACTTCTTTTATCTCTAGTCACACACGGTAAAATTAGGCTTGAGCCCACATGATTAGCCAGAGACTGGTCCACATGTGAGTCACATTTGCTCTCTAAACATCTCGGTGGCTTCACTGGTAAGATGGACTTTGTCTCAAGCTCAACCCCTTATATGTCACCTTTCTTATCTCTGGAGTCCCTTCCTTAGCCTTGGTGGCAGTTCTCAAAGATGATCATCTTTGTATCTTTGCCTCGGCTTCCTCCTGTTCAGTTCCTTCTCCTTACACTGCCTTCCTCCTTCATCCCTCGCAGTTCTAGAACACATGCAGTTATTTCTGCTTCAAGGTCCTGAGCTGACTGTTGGCTAAACTAAAACACGGCTGAACCCAAAGTCCTGAGAAAGGACAGTTTCCACTCTACTCCTGAAGAGGAGTCTTGGACTCTTGCTTCTAAAGGGAAAGAAAGTACATTTCATTGAGGGCTCATCAGGAATCCCAGCATGCCCTTGGGCAGAAGGCATTGGCTGCTGTAATAGCTTTCTGCTTCCAACTGTAAAGAGATCCAAGAGCAATTTACCTTCAAAGAGATGCCATGGGTTCAAGACCCTTTCCGTGAACTTCCTACTTTGTGCACTCTAATACAACAAGGTCAGGTGGCCATTTGAAGTGGAAAAAATGATTTTTCTCCAATCCAAAGCATGCTTGGAGTACAACTAGAGGCAACCTAAACTACTTGCATAGTTCCACATTATTCCACTAATTTAGTACAAACCCATATGTACACAGGCTTGGACCTGGTCTCACTTCTATTTCTCAAGCCCAGTCCCCACCTTCCCAGAGCTCTTCCTTCCTCCTAGGTCCCAATCTCCCTCTAAGTATCACCTTCCCAGAGCTCTTGCTTCCTCCTAGGTCCCAATCTCTCTGTAAGTATCAAGCCAATTGAAAATCAACTTTATTTAAAATCTATTGCATACCTCCTCAGTCTAGTAGGATAGTCATCCATGCAGAGTCATAAATTACAACACAGAGTGATCAGAACAATCGAAGTGGGACAAAATCCCTCTTCTCCAAACACATGAACCCCACCTCTATAGCATCCTTGTTTCTGCCCCTGGAATCTCTCCAAACCAGACTCTCCCTCCTGCTGGCACACAGCCTAGATCAAACATCCAAAGAGGCCCTGCTACCTTTTCCTACTCAGTCCTCCTTCAAGCCTGTGTGAATCCACTTTCTCTGAAACTTCATTTTGCATGGGTGTACTCATGCATGCTCACACTCATACTCTTACACACTCACACCACACACACATACACACACACACCCTGCAGAATCAACAAGTCATGCTGAGAATACAGAACTCATATCCATATTTCCAGATTATTCTCAGACCTTTTGTATATCCATAGCCCAGACAGACGAAGTTACTCAGTCTGTTCACTGTTTTGATGGAGGGAATATCTGTCAAACCAAGACATAGACCTAATGAGTCCTGTTACATCAACATGCAGAAGACTTGGTACTTCAGGAATTATGAATCCATCATTGAAAAAGGTGAATGACCCCATCATCTTTTGACTATTAGGATCAAAAGGTAAAGATTCTAATATAGGTAACCTGAAACATCCAAAAATCCAAAAGCTTTTCTGGTCTGAAAGCATCAGCCAATATTCTTCCAGAAAATATATTTTCCTGGTGATGTTTGGATTGAGATGTTATTAGAATAAGTGTCTACACCACGGGTAGTCTGCAAACTATTCAAGGTAAGGTCTGGGTGGCACAATGAAACTAGTGTGAGAGTAAAAGTATCTGCTGAAGGTAAACTATAGAATTGATAATGAAGACTTAATTCTGTGTTTTTCCAAACACAGATAATATAACTTACATGTTCCCAAGTGAGGGAAAGAAATTCTTTGGGAGACAAAGTTGAATGGCTTCGGTACTTGGCTCAGCAAGTCAGTTTTAAAGTCGTATTCATGAGCTACACTGGATTGGACTCCAGGGGCCAGGAGTAAAGTCAGTGAAACATCGATTGTATTCCCTATAAGTATTCTCCTCCAATAGGCAGTTGAAGAAACCAATGCACATCCACAGTGTGTCTGTCCTCAGATAGAAGAGAAGAGCTACAAAAAAAAATTATAAAATATAATATATACAGTGTATGAAATATATAAAAACATGTAATATACAATATATAAATATAAAATATAGAGTATAGATAGCATAGTGTGTTGTAAATATATGTATACACAGACTGTACTATATTAATCACAGACTCCCTAACCTTAAGGAGCTTACCATCTAGGCAGATGTGCAAATCCAACCCCTTGTCAACAACAAATTGCCCAGAGAGAGAGGAAAGGATATCACCTGAGCCAGAGGACTCTGGGAAGGAAGGCTCCACAGAGGCCTTTGGATCCGATGTGGAAGAATGAAGAAAAAAAAAAAAATCAATGAAGACAGAACGCAAGGAGAGTTAGTCTAGTCACAGGGCACGGTAAGAGCAAAGGACTGGGAAATGCACGCTCTACAAGATACAAGAAAAGTGTGCCCTGTGATCGGGCTCCGTGTGCATGAGATGTCATTGGAGAGGTCACTGAGTTGAGCCCAGAAAGAAATCCGACGCCAGGCCACGCAGGACGTTTAATGCCGTGCTAAGAAGTTTCGTTGTTATCCCGAAGACGGTGAAGCCACCACCTGTTTTTCTGGAGGAGCCTGATATGATTCAATCTGTGCTCTAGGAAGACACGTGGTGGCCGTGCTGTGGAAGGGTGGGAATGGAGAGGAGCTAAAAACGGGGAGGCCCCTTAAGGAAACGGGCCTCCGGTAAAATCCGGGGAATTTAAGCACACACATAGGTCCTTCTAGCACTCTCTGTGCAGGCCTGCCCCTCCTCCACAGAAGCCTCCCCTGGAACATTCTCAAGCCCCCACCCAGCCTGTGTTCCTCCGGGGGCACTTTTTTGAGAGAGAGACAGAGACAGAGACAGAACACGAGTGGGGGAGGGGCAGAGACAGGGAGATACAGAATCCCAGGGAGGCTCCAGGCTCCGAGCTGTCCGCACAGAGCCCGAAGTGGGGCTCGAACTCACGAACGGTGAAATCCTGACCTGAGCTGAAGTCGGACACTTCCCCGACTGAGCCACCCAGGCGCCCCTGATGCTTACTTAGCATTGCACATGCTAGGCCGGCTGTCACGTGACTCCAGCGTTTGCTCCTATGTTTGGAACATCGCACTTCTGGTAGCACAATCTGTGCGCATCTCGTTCAAAGCCACTTAACACTTTTGGCTGATAGAAGTCTTACAGTTAACAAAGCCCCACGGTTTTTACACGAAATGCTGCTAAATCATGAATCTCCCACCCTCTCTTCATTTTTATGAGTAGTTAAGATAGAAGCCCTACCTATAGTAGTAAAGGCTGCTAATGTAGTAGATTACTTAAATAACCAGCATGCCTTTTAAAGGGGGCTGTTATGATCTAATTCAAGTGATAACAATCCAGGGTCTGTGCCTGGCCTCAGTCTAACGCATATCCTTTGTGAGCAGAAAGGGGTTTAAAAAAAAAAATTTTTTTTTAACGTTTATTCATTTTTGAGGGATACAGAGAGACAGAGCGTGAGTGGGGGAGGGGCAGAGAGAGAGGGAGACACAGAATCCGAAGCAGGCTCCAGGCTCCGAGCTGTCTGCACAGAGCCTAACGTGGGGCTGGAATTCACTAACCGTGAGATCATGACCTGAGCCAAAGTCGGACACTTAACCCACTGAGCCAGCCAGGAGCCCCAGAAGGGGGCTTTTTGACCCTGCCCCCACTACCTCCCATCCACCTCCCATCCTTGCATTCTTAATCCACAAACTATTCCTTGGAGTAAGGAATCAAAAATCAATATATGTAAAAAAATTCAAGGTATTGGTAATGTGTGGAGGGGAAGGAGAGAGGTGGTAATATTTATTTTGGGTGTCAAATACAAGGGAATCGTTTTATTTTATACCCTTTTGTATGTATGGAGTACTACAAGATAAAAAATTTTAGTATATAATAATTTTAAAGGCATGCGTGGGGTTGGTTTAAAGTGGGAAGAAAATTCTCTATGATCCTTCTGTTTTGCATTTTTTTTAAGAAAAAGAGGTAATGGAGAAAAATGAGGAGAGAAGGCATTAAATAAGCACAATGAAAGGAAGAGAAAAAGATTTAAGATGGAGAAAGTAAGTGAAAGTAAGGAAAAAAATTCAAGCTGGGAAGACAGACAGCAATGGTGAGTTTGGAAGGAAGACTTATTTGCCTGGTGGGCACAGAATGAGGCAGGAGACCAGACAGATGAATATGGCGACTACCCACAACACTGAGAAGAGATGGGGTTGGAAGAGATGGGAAGGTGCCTCAGATCCTTCAAAAGCTCTCAGCAGATCCACCCCACCTTCTGGCCATCAGCCTCAGCCATTTGAGGTAGTCAAACCACTCCACCCCCAACCCCCCGCCTTATTGTCCAGACCATGGCCCATAGGCAGGAAGCACTGACACCAAGGTCCTGCCAGTGTGTCCACCAGACGCTCCCTCACAGCTCTGGCTCAGATTCTCCTTACACATTAGGTATCTGCCCCGTGACTCAGCCTGCTGTCCTTCCTTCCCTCCCCCAGGGCCTGAGCAGCAGCCTGCCAAACCATAATCAACAGGAGCCCTGCAATCCTCAGGAGCAATGGCGACATCTTTCCAGTGAAACCTGCCGGGTAGGTGTGCAGACTATCAAGGACTTGGTTGGTCACAATGGGACTCCAAACTTCAGGGTAAAAGTCACACTGCCCTCT